ATATTGTTATGAATGCCAATTTAAAGTAGCAAAATTAACACAACATAAAGACCCACAGAGGATTGAAATTTTTAAACGATTAGAAAGAGAAATATTGTTCGACAATGCCAATTTTGCAAGAGAACAAATTTAAAAAGAAAAATATTCCTTGAAGATAATATGGCCTTCTGCAGTAACAAAAAAAGATACGGTTATCAGGTATATACCGATCTTAAATACAATCCAAATTACAAATTAGAAGAAAGAATACACCACTACTGTTATTCAACAAAATCTCGAGGATCTCAATATGATCTCAATATATCAAAAATATACCGAGTATATAAAATATATACCAAAGAAGAATTAGAAGAGAAATCTTTAACTAAACAAGAAATCCTACGACATTTCGAACAAGACTTGTACAGTAAAAGCTCAACCCAGTACCAAGAAAACTATAAAGAGCTCAAAGAAGTAATAGAATTGTCATTCAATCAATATTTAAATAAAGTCAAAGAATCATTAGAAGTACATGAAAATTTAGAAAAACATTACCCAAATGGATATCTATATTGCAATAGATGCCTAACACCAATTAACATCAATAATGATAATGAATGGGATGTTAGTAATAACTTTGTAGTTGTCTTTGAAGAAGAAGAAAAAGACAATCAAATAATCGAAGTGGAACGAACTTATTGTACACAACATTGTTATGATAAAGAAAATAATCATTTACGATATTGTAAATATTGTAACAATGAACATGAACTCGAATTACCTGAAGAAATTAGTAGACTAATGTGTAATCACTGCTACGAAGAACAATTTCTGAAATTACAACCAAAGGAAATTAAAAGACGAACACCAACACCAGGACTATCAGAAATTAAAAAATGACCAAAAACAATATCACCATTTAGACAATATATTAAAGATGGCATACCTTTCAAGGATGAAATCATGGATGCAAAACATGCGGAGAATGTGATCACCATTCACATAAATATTGTACCCAATGCAATAGAATATATGATGGAATCTATAAAGAATGTACATGTTATGACCCAGACATAACTATCAAACAGGAAGAAATTCCAATAGAACCCGAAGAATCTATCAGCACTAAACAACGAGTGACAAGATTGGAACAGATCGTATTAGACCAATCAGAACGAATTAATGAATTAAAAAATATTATTGAATATAGAAATATCCAATATTGGACCTTATTGGATAAAATTCGATATTTTCAAGATGAAATATCCACAGCAATATTGCAAGATTATAACCAATATTATAGGACAGAAGGACGACTCCAAGAAGAACCTGAACTCTTGGATGATCAAGAAGAATTCAATAATACGGTATATACAATTAGTGGACAACATGAAATCATTAATAGGGCGATAGAAAGAGAAAAAAGTCGAGGAAGATCGCTAACACCACGACCGATTACTAATCAAAACGAATGATATAATGAAGAAACCCCAATGATAATTGTCAATGAATAAGCATCTGACAAATAGATAGTTAATTAATAATTAATAATTTGTAATAAAATGGAGGACATTCCATGTAATACTTATTGGAGTACAAGATTATTCTTAATGAATATTATAGTATTTACCCCAAATAGGGAATGACTGTGATACGCGAGGAAGGGGCGTATACATATGATCAAAACAAATTATCTGTATAACAAACAACGCCAAAACACGTATTAGTAATATCCTTCTTATCTATTGTAAACAAACCAAATTTTAGAATTAGTAATCCTTATCTATCTTATAAACAAAACCTTTGATTAAAAATCAAACGGATAAAAACAAGATTAATAATCATGATAGCTGGACTATCGAACCAAAAATTATTTAAACACCCTTGATTACCCAAATCAAAACCTCACTCATTACGAGCAAATGGAAAACAATAATCAAAAAGATCTTATTGAAAAACTTCAACAACAAATTAAAAACCTTGAAGAATTCAAACAAAAAGCAATTCACGATATCATTCGATTTAACAACTGCTTTCATAATCTTTATTGATATAAACCAGGATATTGCCCCAATGAATATTCTGCACCAACAGGAACTGACTCAGACAACGGAGCTTATTATTTTATTCAAACTGCAAAAGTCAGACCACAAAAGAAAAAGTGAATGATCCAAGAAATAATCAATTATATTACTTGGACAACCATACAACTTTTGACCAAACAATTAACCGAAGAAGAGATACTTTATCTTCTTCTTATCAACCTTAATCAATATTAATGACAACAGAAAGCAACTTTATTGAACAGTTTGAAGATAACGAAACGACCCTCAAACAGATCACCGCTTTCGAATTAACAGGAATCAAAAGCCTACTAGTGAACTTATTAAATACTGCATTATTACAAATAGAAAAAAACAATAATTTACTATTTCTATTAGCTAAAGCCGCATTACGATACTACGTTCAGGCTTTACCAGAAAGTGAACTGATTCAAGATATTCAAAACCTTTTATCAAAACCAAGACCATTGACCACTCAAGATAACGCTGATTACGCTATAATGATTAATCGAATAATCAGAAATATCAGAAGAAATATTGACATATTACTACCAGAATTAGATCTTGATGAGTAAAAGAAGACCTACTATAATTGAAAGAACAGATCAAGAAGTACTCGAACAGATAAGATTACATCTTATACAAATACTTCGATATACACAAAAAAGGTTTAATTTCAAAGTAGAATTATCTAAACAAGACCTAACAGAAACTGAGTACAGGTTCTTAATACTCCAACAACACTTGGTAATAGCAGTATCATCAACATATCAAATACTAAATCTTGAAATAGAAGCCACCCTCACAAGAGACACTATAAACGATATAATTAAAGGCCTAAAAGATATAATTGAAAATATTGACCAAGAATTACTAGAATTCTCTGACAATAAACAAGAGATAACTATTTGCGAACTCTGCCAACAATTTAAAAATAGAATTAACCCTACAGTAGATTCTGACGGAAAATATTCAGAAGACGAAATTTAATGAACAACAAAACATTAAATAGTCATATCCATCGATTAACCATTCTTAAAGGACAAATAGTCACCATGGAAAACTTTACTGATATATTCTGGCAGGATACCAGAATAGAAATATATGAAAGAATAATTAAAAAATTAACCAGAATCTCCAAAATAATTCAAAAAGAAATTGACGAAACTGAGCAGATTAAAGATAGCACAGAAGCAAACTTAGAAGACTCATAATAATGGAAATCTTGAAAATATTAACCAAATAGTTGAAAAATTTAATAAAGGCTATTTTGGTTTTAATAACCGCTCTAAAGAAGAACTCCACTATATATTATTTGAAATATTTTTACATTCAAAAACAATTAAATTAATAAAACCCGGTTATGAAGAATTAGAAAAATTCTTATGGGAAGAAATGAAAGAGGATAGAAAACTTTCAAAATTAGTTGAATATATTTGGAATGGAAAAACAACCTTAGAAGTAACTCTCTCCAAAAAGAATCAAGAAGATATTACAACAATATCCAAAGAAATGAAATTAAAGAAACAAACCTTTAAAACCTTATGGTTTAAGGATCAAAACCATTACCAAGAATGGTCAAAGGAATTAGAATTATTGGTACAAATTAATACAAACAGAGCAGAACTAAAACGAATAAAACAGGAACAATATAAAGATCAAAAGGGATATAAAAATCGATATGAAGCTCTAAACGAAATTGAAACCGAAGAAATGAAAATCTTTAAAGACCTAGAATACTCAGGAGAAAAAGTAATCTTTGGAAATAACAAAGAAAAAACTCTTCAGATTATGATCCCAAAACCGGAACAATGGTTGAGAAAAATAAATAGTACTCAAATGTATTTTGATCTGGTAAACAAACAAGATCAAAGACTAATCAGAGAAATGGAACAAGACCAAGAAAAAAGAAAGGATATTTTAAATAAAATAAAGTGCTTAAATAACGATGAATTTAAAACAATTGAACAAACCTTAAAATACCTTTATAACCAAAGAAATGACTTTTACCAGAAAACCTTAACAAATGAATTAACAAAATTCGACCAATTCAACGATTATTTAGAAGAGAATTTACTTAAAGCAAAACTAATAACAATTGGAGGAGCAATAGGAGTAGGAAAGACCACATGGGCCCTACAACTTAAAGAATTTCTTATTCAATTAGGATACAAAGTATTCTTAATGGAGGAAATCACTTTACAACATAAGGATTGGCTTTCTTTAATGTATTCCGATATTAATAAATATTCATTAGCATTCCAAGTGCTATTAACAACACAATGGAATATTAATTACCAAAAATTAAAAAGACTTGAATTGGAAAAGGTTATTGATGAGAACACCATCATCATATGTGACCGAACTGCAATAGAAACAAAAGTGTTCACTAAACACAATATCAGAAATCCAGAAGAATTACAATTATTAGAAAAACTTCTTTATCAAACGGAAACACAAATATACAAAGATACATATTATCAAATATATATCAAATGTGAAAAAGAAGAAATGATTAGGAGACAGGCTAAAAGAAATCGACAAGAAGAAAAAGATATAGATAAACAATATCTATATGAGATATATGACATGTATGAAGAAATGATCCAAGAAATATATCCAAAATACATTGAAGTATCAACAGAAATACCAAAACCGGAAAATATATTTCGATCACTATTCATTCATAGTGCGAAAGGAATCATAAAAAGACCTGAAGAAATAACATTAAAATCAGGACAAACACAAAATCTAATAAAAAGACGATATACAGTTATTACCTTATTTAGAGAAAGAGAATTATCAGACGAATCCATTGAAGTTTTAACAGCAAAACGGTCCAAAAATGCTAAAATATACCTGGAACAACACTCAGGATTCGGAGGACACTTTGAAGAATATGATAAAACATATTGGAACTGTATTATACGAGAAATTACTGAAGAATTGAAATTCGAAATGAAACCCGAACGATTACAATTCATTAAAACACACGGATACCTCTCCCATAATAAATCCGGAACCCAACCAACAACAATCAACGATAATGATTACACAAAATCACCATATTACATTGAAATAGCAATGTACTTATATCTGGTATTACCACATGAATATTCTCAAATAATTCACAATGAACCAAATAATATGTATCCACCTCAATGGATGACAAAGAAACAAATGGACCATCAGGTATGGACCCCATCGATCCAATACTT